CACTATGGCACTGGGGCTGCTGATCCTGGCTGAGCCCTGAAGCACGAGCGACTGCTGACCTCTTGTGGTCATTGCAGGATCTGTGCTGGTCCTGCAGCTTCTGGCCTGGTGACCTCACTTCTCAGAGTGCTTGCCTACCACTTACCTCCTGGGGTCCTCCTAACATCCTGGGGGTGAGAAGAGCTGTGATTCCCACTTTCGCTTCACCAATGAGTGGCAGCATCCTGGGAAGCAGCCCCAGATCCACCACTAATTTCTTATCTGACCTTGACAAGTTAAGTCCTCACTCAGCCTCAATTACCCATCAATAAAACAAGTGGGGACTTTTAAAAGCTCATGGAAAAATGGAACTAAGATATGAGTTTACTGACCATGGTTCAAGTCCCAGACCTGGCAGCTTACTTTCTCACTTTCTCTCTCTCTCTGTCCCTCTCTGGTCAAATTAAAATAAATAAATAAATAAATAAGTAAATAAAGTTAAATAAAGTAGAGAAAAGATACAAGTTTACTTTGGTGTAAAAAAAAATTTTAATCCCATGCCTAGTTTTGTAGTAATAGGCATTTTCCATGAACTTGTTGAAGACCTCTTGCAGGAGAGGCCATTCATGTGAGATAGTTCTGCAGTCTCTTCCAGCTCCCTAGGTTCTGAGTGGAGAGATGACCTGCCCAGATCAGTGAATCAGGGCAGAGGCAATCCCAGTCTGCAGGGCACCCCACTTGCCCATACTGATCAGGAAAACCACAGGTGTCACAGCAAACAAAACCAGTTCTCCCACCTCTGTGTTCTGCTCATGTGTTGATGGCCCACATGGATGGATGGATGGATGGATGGATGAGTGGACTAAGGATGAATTAATAAATAGATGAATGGGGACCAGCAGATGGCATATTGGTTACGTTGCTGGACTCCCACATAGTTGATCATACCCCTGGGAGGCGATTTCTCGCTTTCTGTCTCTCTCTCTCTCTCTCCAGTGAGTGCATGTGCCCTATAGCAAAAACCTCTCTAAAAATAATAATAATAATAAAATAATAAATAGATGGATGGATGGATAGGATATTAAAAACTGGGATCGTTCTTACCAGCTACCCGCCCTCCCTGGTCCCTGATAAGTTGCCCCTCTAATTGCAGATGCCTGGCGCCTTGGTAGGTTGCCCCAGGTGCACTAAGCTAGGGTTCCAATGCCGCTGCTCCTGCCTGAGAGCCTAAAATTGAAATCTATCAGGAGGGGAATGAGTTCTCATCCTAAGCTTCCTGCCCTGTTATTTACCACCATGTCCAACAGTTATAGCTGTGGGAAGACAGTCAGGGGCCGGGGCCATAAACAGAAAGTTTGGAACACGGACATCCCTTCGAAGCAGTTCCTTAGGCCAACAATGGCTGCAAATAAGCTCTGTGCTCATGACGAAGCTAAGGATCACGGGAGTGGTAGGCTGGCGTGGAAACAGCATGCCCTATATATTTCACAGCCTGATTCAAGTCTAGTGACTCTGAGCAAGTTCTTTAACTTCCTCTGTGCCTCGGTTTTCTCACTGGTAAGATAGATGTGACACCTGACAAGTATTGTGAGGAATAAATTCAGTAAGAAATTAAATGCTGGGGCCAGCAGGTGGCATGGTGGTTAAGGCACTAGACCCCCACATGGCTGACCACAGTTCAAGATCCAGACCTGATGGCTTGAGAATCACACCACGCACGTTTGTGTGTGTCCCCAGAATCCCAGGAGTAGAGTAGAGAGGTGATTGAGGCATGGCCATCCCTCCTGGTGGGGAGGTGGTGATTTCTCACTTTCCCTCTCACTGTCTCTCGCTGTCCCCAATGAATACGCATGTCCAATGGCAAAAACCTTTAAAAAAAGAAAAAAAAGAAAAAAAAGAAAAAAGAAAAAGAAATAATAAAATGCCTAGCATGTCATAGGTGGTCAGTAAATAGAAGTTCCCCTTCTTTCATTCCAGATCATGGAGAAATTCTGGAGAAAAGAGGAAAATGATCCACTGCATACCCAGCAAGTTTTTTAAACTGGGAAGTATCCCTGAGTCCTCAGAAGTAATGAAGTCGGGCAGCCAGTGGTGCTTAAGATAGCTGAATCCCTCATGACGGACTGCAGTTCAAGACCTAGCAGCTTGGAAAAAACGTGCCAAGCACAGGTATGCATGAGTCCAAAATCCCAAGAGTGGAGGAAAAGGGACCATAATGTGGCCATAACCCCTAGGGAATACACTCTCTCTCTCTCTCTCTCTCTCTCTCTCGTGAGTGCACATACCCTATAGCAAATTAAAAAAAAAAAGAATCTTGAGCCCCTCTTTCTCTTTATGATTCTATTTTTTCCCACAATATCTGTCCACCCAACAACCCTCCATTCTTCCCTTACTTTTTCCCTTAATCTTCTTCCCTCCCAGTAACTAAGTGGCTTCTCCTAAATTTCACCTCTTCTTACTCCCTACATAAATGCAATGTCTTCTTTTTTTTTTTTTACTGAAAAACAGGAAGACTAAGTCCACATAATCAGAAGCTAGTGGGACTAGGCTGACATACCAACTCTCCCCGCCCACTCGATTCCCAGGGGTCCCCCACTCTGTGGGTCACTACATGGGGATGGAGAGATCAATCTCCAACCCAGGCCAACCATCCAGGGGAGAAGGGAGCTTGGTGGCTGGTAGGACTGGGTAAGGCTTGGAGAGGCTGCACTAGCTGAGATGTAGGAGGTAGGAAGTTCCTGGGGAAAACTGGGAGAAAAGAGCTGGGAGTTCTCTGCAGGCCCCTGAGATTCCAGAACCCCAAACGCCTTTCCCCTCTCTAGTGCCAAGGAGTGGGAGAAGACCCACTGAAATAAAAAAAATATATACTAACTTTAAGAAACACACCAAAATACTAGCAGTGGTTGATCTAAATGAAGAAGCACTATTTTTTCTTTTCATTTGGGGTGTTTTTTAAAAAACTATATATAAATGTGGGGACCAGCAGTTAGCGTAATGGCTATGTCACTGGACTCCCACGTAGTCGACCGCAGTTCGTGTCCCGGACCCGGTGGCTTAAAACTCACGCCGGGCGCGTGTGCATACATGCCCAAGATCCCGAGAGGAGAATGGAGAAGGGATTGCGGCGTGACCATCCCCCCTGGGGGGGGGATTTCTCGCTTTCTGTCTCTCTGTCTCTTTCTGTCTGTCTGGTGAGCATATGCGCCCTATAGCAAAAACCTCTCAAAAAAAAAAAACATATATACATGTGGTCATATTATTTGATAATAACATTTAAATGTGCCAAATCCATTTATTCTAAACAGCTGTGCTCAGCCAGGGAAACAGACAAGAACCTAGAAAAAGACAGTTTTGGCCAGTGGCATGGTGCTTAAGGCAGGTGAATACCACATGGCCGACTATATGGTTCAAGTCCCAGATCCACCATTTTGGAAAAACATGCACATGGCCAACTGCATGATCTGAGTCCTGGAGCCAGAGGCTTGAAAGCACAAGCCAGGCACATGTGTGTATATGCCCAAAATTCCGAGAACAGAGAAAGGATTGTGGCATAGACATTTCCATGGGGGGGGGGTGATGTCTCATTCTCTCTCTCTCTCAAAAAAGAAGACAAAAAAGATTGTTGGCCCCAACAGAAAAGTACCAGGTTTGAGTCCTCACAGGAAGACCACAAAGCGGGGCAACAAAACCATGGTGAACAGCTGCATCCCCACCCCTGACCCAGGCCCTTCTGGCCTCCAGGACTCACTGAGGGCAGTGAAAGGACAGCTGCTGAATGGTGCCAGGCAGCATTGCTGGCAGGAGTGACAAGGACTTCCTAAGGAGGACTTGGAGAGCCACCAGAGGACTCTGGTCCTTACCTACCCGCTGTAGTGATGCAGAATGACCACTCCACAGCAGTCAGAACACCAGTTTCAGTTCTCTGCCACTAACACGCTGCATGACCTTGGTTAAGTCAGGCTACCTCTCTGGGCCTCAATTTCCTCATCTGTAAAACGAGGAGACTCAGTTAACTTTTTAAAAAATGTAGCAGACTTTGGACCAACAGGTGGCATTATGGTTAAGGCACTGACTCCCACATGGCCAACTCCATGGTTTGGGTACTGAGCCCAGCAGCTTGAAAAACATACCGGGTACATTTGCATGCATGTCCACAATCCCGAAAGGAGAAGGAAACGCAGCATGGTCACCCTCTCCATCCTCCACCCCACCCAAGAGTGATTTCTCACTTTCCTTTCTCTCTGTCTCACTGTCTCTCCAGCAAGTGTACATGCCCTGGGAAAAGAATTTAAAAAAAAAAAAAAAAGTCGCAGGCCTTTACTCTGTGCGCTGTCCTGATGCCATGAGTAATACAAAGAGGACGAAGGTAGTCATTTATCAAAAAGCATTGAGTGACTATTCCGTTTACTAGGCATTGTGGTTACAGGGCTGAGTAAGTCAGCATCATTGCCACTGAGAAAGTCCCCACCTGATGGGGTGACAATGTGCAAATGGTCAACCAGACGCTTGGTGCAGAGACAGACATATGGTCACACAAGGGCACAGAGAGGAGCAGCCTTTTCTGCTGGGGCTAGCTGAGGGAGAAGAAAAGAAGCCTGAACTGAATCTTGGAGGATCCCTGGTCCCTACCCTCAGAGTGCACAAGCTAATCAGGGACTGGAACAGAAAACTGAATAGCTGCCACAAAGGCAGAATGAAGCCACCACAGGTAACCCGAGTTCACAGGCAGAGGACACCCATGTGACTTGGGTAGGGTGGGAAAAGAGATGGACAGGAGGCCAAGGAGGTGGAGGAAATGACATTGAGTAAGCCTTGAAGGATGAAGAGTGTTTCATGAGAACCTTGGGGAGCTAAAGAGTTATTCTAGATGCGGGATCTTCAGAAGTCAAAGCACCATATGGGAGAATCAGAGTCATTCAGGACAGCAAGTAGCACAGGAAGTGGAGGGAACCATCATGATGAGAATGTACTTGGCCCGGGGCCAAGTACCCTCCATCTTCATGCCAGTTCTCAGAGGCAGGTTCCCTTACTACTACTATCCCATTTATTCAGATGAGGAAACAGAAGCTCAAGGAGGTTACAAAGTCACACAGCTGGTGGGTGGCAGAATCAGCACTTAAGCCAGGTAGGTCTAATGCCCTGCCCTGCCCTTACAACAGGCATGCCAGGCAGTGGCATTACTGAGTCCTTCCCATCTAAGGTACCACTGTTGCAGCACACCTGGCCTGGCATGTCATCTCAGACATGCGGGTACTGAAAGGTTGATCTTCGTCTTAACCTCTGCCCTAATCCTGAAAGCTGGCTTGATTCAGACTCTTCACCCTTATCAGAAAAGAGGGGATGGGTGGGCCAAGGAATATGAGAATTGCCCAGGGTATTTTGTGCTCCACTGTCCGTTGGTCTCAGTTTATTGTTCTGTGCTGGTGAAGGCCGGCTAGTTTCTAGTTCTCCTGTGGTCAGATCCATGTTGCTTTGGCCCCAGGGCAGGTCATCCTGCTGGGACTAAGGTGGCCGGTTTCTCTTGCGAGACCGGAGTTTCAACTGGACTTTGTACACTCGGATGGCGTCCAAGTACTGCTGAATGCCCAGGGACTCCCGTCTCCAGCGCCCCAGCTTCCTGAGCTGGTCTGTCATGAACTTCTTCTTCAGGTGGTCATACAAGTGGCCCATCTTTTTCTTGGTCTTTTCTGAAGCTCTTATCTTATATTAAAAAAAAAACAAAAAACAAAAAAAAAAAACAAGAGGTGAGATTAGGATGAAGAAATCACTTCACAGCAAGACAGGCATCTGTGCTGCTGATAGGGAGGTGGAAAATGTATCACCTGAAACCAATATTTACTCCATCAGTATCTTGACTCACAGGGAGCCTCAATTTCTCTATTTGTAAAAAGTGGACATTATGCTTTGATAACCCCTGTAGTACCTTCTGGCATCCTGCTGCCTAGGAGTCTGACTTGACCTTACTAGCATTGCTCTTTGAAGACCAGACAGAGTGGTGGAAGAGGGCAGGGTGGGGAGGGGTATCTTGTTTGTCCCCCACTCTGCAACCTCTATCACCCTGTCCCTATTAATCACTTGATACTTCCAACATATTGTCGTGACATACCACATATCACACTGAACTTTCTTACTTATTCTATCATATCATTTTTGTCCTGGCCCCAACAATGTTGTAAGATTTGGAAAGGCACATCCTATGTCTCTCTCTCTCCTTCCCTCCCTTCCTTTCTATTCCCTTCCCTTCCTCTTCCTTCCTTCCTTCCTTCCCTTTCTTTCACTTCCCTGCCTTCCTCTCTCCTTCTCATTTTCCTTCCCTCCTTCCCTCCCCTCCCTTTCCCTTCCTTCTTTCCTCCCTTGCTCTGTCCCTCCCTTCCTTCTTTCCTTCCTTCCTTCCATCCTCTC